TCTCCGGCTTTGACCAGGAGAAGACAGAAAAGGGCTCTGCTGAGATTTGAACTTGCAGCTGCCCAGCGTACCAGAGTTCCAAGCTTCTGTTTCAGCTGGTGACAAAGGCTTAACAAGGAGGGAAAGAGGAGCCCTTGCCTCTACCGCTTTCTGTTCTGTTCCTTGGTCTCTGGCACAGTCCAAACTCACCATTGTTTGAGGGTCAGGAAGGAGGCTGTGATGTTACATTGCCTGCTGGCACCTTGTACATTCTCTTTGGTTTCCACGGTGGTATGTGTTTTTTAGCTTCTCTGTAGTATATTTTGCTCTGTACTCTCTTTGTTAGACACTCACTATCATTCCTCTAGATTTCTTGGGAGTTGGTGGAGCTTTTTTTTAGTATGTGTGCGTTATTTTTACGAAACAAAGTAATATTGTTCATATTGCAAAACTTAAATCATTTTGTTTTTAAAAGCATTCTCTCTGTGTGTGTGTGTTTATCAAAATGATGTACAGTGGAACCTTAGTTCTCGAACTTAATCCATTCCGGAAGTCCGTTCGACTCCTGAAACCATTCGAAAACCAAAGCACAGCTTCTGATTGGCTGCAAAAGCTTCCGGCACTCAAGCGAAAGCTGCTGTTCCTTCTGGGTTTTGGGGCATTCAGGAGCCGATTTGTTCATCAGCTAAGCCATTTGAGAACCAAGGTACCACTGTATGTAGCACACCTACCACAGGAACACGTATTTTTTCTTTTGAGCAACATTGGACTGTTAACCCACACTCTTGTGATTTTCTACAGTGTGCTACATGTTCATTGTCCTTTTTCCCCACAGTGTTCAATGAATCTTGTGCAACACTTTCTCTAACCCGCCCCCCCCCCAAGTCTGTTGTGTATCCAGGGAAGCTTTTCTTGATAATACTGGCACATCATGCTTATAATTATTTATTGCATATGATGCTTGCTGCTCAGCTTTCTGATAGCATACTGCATGCTTCACAGGGTTTTCACAATGACAGTTGTGCATATTTCCTGTGAATCTCAATCTCTCTCTCCTCAGTACACACCTCATTCACCAGGGTTCAGTTAGTGAATGCAAAAGCTGGACTAAATTCATTCTCTGGTAATCTCTCCGTCTCTGCTTTTCTCCACCCTCCATCTGGCACGTATATTCTTTATGCTCTCTAGCCTCTCAAGACTTAAGAAGACCTCAGGGAGCAATTTGGCCTCTTCCTATGTATTTTCTCTCTCCCTCTCTCTGTGGAATCAGCTAACCCATTATTCTCATATGAGCTGGAGACCTGGCAGATATAATCATGCCTGTGTGTGGCAGAAAGCAGTTGTGGGTAAAAGGGGCGCTTGGTGAGTGTGTGTCAGTTTGAGGCTCCTCAGGTCCCAGGGTAGTTATCATAGCGGCTGTGGGCTGCCCACCCTTTATGGCTAGGACTTAATAGGACCCCAACTGGGCTGCTCCCTTTGATGCTGGTTGATGACTATCGAACAAAATAGTGGAAGGGCATTACAAGAAAACTCTCCTTTTACAGCCTTTCTCCTGAATATCTTTTAAGCCTGGAAATGGGAAGGGCCAGAAATATAATTAAAGAACTAATCTGGGACATAGAATTCCAAAATGATTGTAACCGATCTTCTAAAATCTATAAATCTCTACATGAACCTCATCCCACAAATTACTTAAGTGCAGTGGATAACCCTATACATCATTGGGGTTTTTCCAGAGCATTTTTTAATGTTCTCCCTTCAGTAATAATAATAATAATAATAATAATAATAATAATAATAATAATAAAATTTATTTATACCCCCACCCACCTGGGCAGCTTCCAACAAGATATTAAAATACAGTAATGCATTAAACATTAAAAGCTTCCCTAAGTACTGCCCTCAGTACTACTTGAGGGCAGATATCATGACATCCCAATTGAACAAACTTTATGCCCATGCAACTCAGTGAGATTGAATCCATTGGACACGTTCTTCTATACTGCCCATTGTACTGTGATACCTGAAGAGAGCTAATTTTACCATTGTTAAGGAAATTACCTTGCTGCTCAGAGGAAACTTAAGTAATACCTTCTTGTCGATAAAGATCTGGATATCATTAGGCCTGTTGCGAAATTCTGTTTTATGGCAACGAGGACAAGACAGGCTGTGGTGGCAGTCATGACTGGTGAGTGAGTACTGATTTTAATCTATGGAATACAGATTTTAGCTGAAGGAGTGTTATTTTTAGTGTAATTAAGCTTATAGGGAATAGTTAATTACATCCGCTTCTTCATGTGAGTGTGGTATATGATGCTGCTGTTGTTGTTAACTTTCTGTCTGGTTTTTGATCGTAATAAAGATTGCTTGCTTGCTTGATTTCTGAGATATGCTCATCATCTTTCTTTGTCTGGGTATTGGTATAGCCATGTGGCTTGTGTTAGCTGTTCCCAGAATCCTTTACTGTGTGCTGGAATTCTGGAGTAGGATTCCAGGGTTCCTGAACAGTGAAAAGTTTGAAATCATTGCCGTAGAGCACGACAGAGTTCTGCATTTGCCGAAGTTAAGAGGCATTCCGCCTTCTTTCTTACACACAGCAGAGGATGCCACATCTAAGATACTGCAACATGTTCCTGCATCTTCTAAGAACAAAGTATGCTTCTTGCATCTTCTCTGTGTTGGAGAGGTCTACATAACCTGTGAGCCATTGCCTTATATGGCAGCGCACCAGAGACTCAAACAACTTGTTGTTTGCCTGCTGGGACTGCAGAAGCAGGGAGTTGATAAGAACCTCACAAGTCACTGTTTGTGGCTGATGGGCTGTGCTCAGTTTGGTGGCTCATGAGTTTTAGAATTGAGTAAGTGTGCTTTTTATTAGATCAGGTATGGCTTCTTAAATGGGATGTATATGTGTGTGCTTTGCCACCCAAGGCTTCGTTAATTAAAAATGAAGGTGCAATGTTAGAACAGGAGCAGTTTCACCAGACGGATGTCTGCTTCTAAAACAGAATATGTGTGTAAGCTCTGCAATGTAAAACAAACAAACAACCCAACTAAAGTCCTTTTTAAAGGAATGGAAGGATTAAAAAAGTAGTAGTACTCAAAGTACTATTTTTTTTTTAAAGTACTCAAAGCATTTGTACTTGTTTTCTCATTGTGGCTATATAGATGTACTCTGTGTGTGTGTGTGTGTGTGTGTGTGTACCACACACACACACACACATTCTGCAGGTGGCCTTATCGAAATCCCTATTTGATGGGAGATCCGAAGTGAGCTAGGCACTCTTGCTGTGCTCTCCCTTTCCTGGCCTTGCCTGCCATTTGTCTCTTAGAGGTAGCATTAGCACTTGGCCCGTCCCACGTGGAGCTTGACACTCGTGGATCTGCTTCGTGCCGTCCAGACATGGCACCCTCAAGGCAGCCTGTGCTGCATGGAACAGACACATGCAGGTGCCTATGGAAATTCCAGCTCCTTCACCCAAATAGCAGGCAAGGCAGCACACGGGGCAGCACATGGGAACATTTGCCTATAGCTAAGATTCGATTGTGAGCTGATGGGGTCCATGAGCTTCCCCAGAACTAGAGTTAGCAACCCATCTTGATTATTGCAACGCAACACAGGTAACAATGCTATTTTAAAATTATTAGAATTATGTAACATTATGGGCACCTAGTGGGTAGTGCCTATGATTAAGTTCCCGCAGAAGGTCAGTGTCAGGAGAATTCAGAATGGGAACTGACCCATCCCATTAAAGTTTATATATCAGACTCCCAACATTTAAGAAGACTGCTTGGGAGCCAAATGGCCAACTTCTGCTTCTCAGAACAAAACAGATGCAACATGGGAGATCAGACATTGCATCACCTGACTATTCTCCCCCCCCCCCCTTTTAGGTCAGAAGCAGCCTGGGGTAGTAGAGGGGCTCTAGCTTTGATTGGATCTGTGATGCTGCGGGTGATTAACCCTTTCCCCTTATGTTGCTTCCTGGATCTAAATCACCCTGAAGCTGCTGTTAGCCCCACTAGGAAAAGAATATAGGCCTGGTGCCCCAGCAGAGATAATAGCAGCTTCGTGGTGCATGTTTTCTGTCAATCAGGGAAATTACATGACTGTGTGGCTGGCAGGCAAAGGTTCATCCCTTTCACCACCAGCACTTCTACAGTGGTGATAATATTGGCAGCTGATTGAATTGGCTAGTTTAGGATAATGGGACGAAAGAACCACAGATGGGGTGCAGTGATCTTTGTCAGTGGAGCTGCCAATTCTTGACCTTGGTTTGTCAAGCCACCCCCCCCCCCCCAGCTCAGGGATGAGCCTCTGTTGGCTCCTGGAGCTACCGGTTCTCTCTCTCATTGAAACTGCTGTGCAGAGCTACTGTTCAGATTTTAAAGGGCAATCAGAGGGGAGTAAATGCATTTTAAAATCCAACTTGGTGGTTTTGATAAGAGACCAGATCAGACAACAGCATTTAAATAATGCCATTTAAAAAAAGGATCTGAGGCAAAACAGGAAAGGAACTATATTGCACGATTCCATGGCATAGTTCCCTTTCTGCTTCCTCTGCTCCCTTTTTAAATGGGCAGCTAGCTACCAGCCAGGACTACTACTGCCACCTTCCCTCTCTCTCTCTGACAGTGCTGGGGCAGCAGGCTGGCACCACAGAGGTCACCATTTCAGAGGTGGGTCAGGGCCAGCCAGATAAATGTGGCTGCCTGAGGCAAAAGACAAGATGGCATCCCTGCCCTGCCTGCCCTCCAACAACCACTGCATATAAAGAAAACCAGACTAGCAATTGCATCTGACTTTGATGCTGGCAGTGGGGCAGCATTCTCCCCTGTACCTGGAGGCAGCAAGCGAGCTTAGTTGGCTCAGCAGATGCCTCACTCTGCCTCCTGGTAAGGTCGGCCTTGGATATAGGGAGAAAGCAAGGCATCCAGAGGCCCTTCTCAAACCTAGCATGGCTTCTCTTCTTCCCCAGTCTTCCCCAGTGTTTGTTGAATCTCTCTTCTTTTTTCTTCAGCGTGGAAGGAGACCCGCCTGGAAGTGAGGCAGGCACTATTATAGTGGACAGCCTGGGCAGTCAGCCTCCATATCGTTGTACCCCTGAGGTGACCAAGATTGAGCACTACGATTTGGCACCCTCTTCATCGTCCTCCTCTGTCTGTCACACTCCATCACCAGGCATTCCGTGGGCTCAGCGTGCTCGGCTGCAGCCAGCCAGTGTGGCGCTGAGAAAGCAGGAAGAGGAAGACAGCAAGCGTTCCAAGGCACTGTCAGACAGCTATGAGCTCTCGACAGACCTCCAGGACAAAAAGGTAATTGTTGTCTTCAGCATGCACATTTTATAAGGCCAGGAACCCCATCTATAGCAAGAAGCCCAGGGCAATCTAATGTGTGCCACTTGTCTCCATGATTAGGGCCAGATGATTTCAGAAATGAGAGCCAGAGGCCTACTGAGGCCAACTAGACCAGCTTCTACTGCCATTCTCACTTGGCACAGTGCAGTCAGGAAAGTTGAGGACATTGCAAGCCTTTGCTCTTCTCGTAGGCCTCCAGGTGTTGCTGGAATATATCGCCCATTATCCCTGGCCATTGGCATCCTGGCTGGGGCCAGCTGGATTTGGAGTCCAACAATATCTGGAGGGCCACAGGTTCCCCATCCCTAGACAAGAGATGGCCCAGTAGTCTGACTCAGCAGGAGACTGATTCATATGTTCTAGGGGATGAAAGTGAAAGCGCTGTCCTTTGCTGTGGCATCTTGCCCATGGTCCTCTAGAATCCTGCCCCCTCCTTTGCTGACGAGGTCTCTCCCAAGCTGCCCATCTCTCTTTTCCATAGAACTCATTGTTTAATCCAAATTATTTCCCCCACTCCCTTGCCTAAATCCCTGCCCTCACCACCACCACTCTTCCTCTGTTGCCTCCTGCAGGTGGAGATGCTGGAGCGGAAGTATGGGGGCTATTTCCTGAGCCGGCGAGCAGCTCGCACCATCCAAACAGCCTTTCGCCAGTATCGCATGAACAAGAAGTTTGAGCGTCTGCGAAGCTCGGCGTCTGAGAGCCGCATGTCCCGGCGCATTATCCTCTCCAACATGCGAATGCAGTACTCCTTTGAGGAGTTCGACAAGGCCCAGAGTGCCCCTTACTTTGAAGGCAAGCCAGCCTCACTGGATGAGGGGACCATGGCTGGTGCTCGACCTCATCTGCTGGACCGTGGCCTACCCTATGGTGGCTCCTGCCGAGCTGGCTTGGATGGCAGCTCCCTGCATTCCTCTTCTGGAGGCTTTTGCAATGACATCACTGAGCTAGAGGACTCCTTCTCCAAGCAGGTAGGCTATGCCAAACTGTACGCCACCCTTGCCTTTTCCTTTGCCCAGCGAAGACCTTTCAATAACCCCTTTGGCTGTTCTCTTGGTTCCTTTGCTTAGTCATGACCTCAAGCTCCCCCCTCCCCGCCCCATGGACTTTCATCAGCCCTTCACAAATCCCCTCTGTTGCCCTACCACCATTGTGAATTCAGCTTCCCGGGATCCAATAATAACAAGTTTTAAACAAATCTGGTGGCTTCCATTTACGTGAAAGGTGATTCTAACTAAACATCAGGGGAAACTTTCTGTTTGACAGTGAGACAGGCTCCCTTGGAAGGTGGTAGGTTCTCCTTCACTGGAGGTTCTTCTTATGCAGAGGTGGCCACTGTTGCTTTAGTTCAGTTTCCTGCATTGCAGGAGGTTGGACTAGATGGCCCTTGGGGTCCCTTCCAACTCTACAATTCCAAACGCACTGAGTGCCAGCACTGGGGGTACCTGTTTTTTATCAGGGCATAACCAAAGCTCTTCTCAGATTTCATTGAAAGGAAAAAGAGAGATACAAGGAAAGGCATGCAGGTGGTACAGCCACTGGTCTTCACCTGTTGGGTCGGGACCCACTAATGTGTCGTGGCCTGATCTAAGGTTGGTCACAACTACCACCCTGCAAAGATTAAGAAATGGGTCCCCAAATGCATGTTTGGGGTAAAAGAGGATTCTGGGTGTGTAAGGAGTGAATCTGCTCTGAACTTCTTGGGTTCTCTTGGATTGTAACTCTGAAAGGAGGCTTTGGTCGCTTGCTAGTTTGGGTTAATTTTATTAGGAAGTCTTGTATCCTGCTTTTGACTCCAAAAAGGTATCCTAAGAAAAAAACCCAATGCAAAATCGGTAGAGGATGCAACTAATATTTAAACACTTACATTTTCTGTGCTGGTGTTTTCTTTCTGCTGTAATACTGTTGCTTCCCAATGTTTTCTGCAATATCCTTCATTTTTTTTAGATCTGATTTGCGGTGTGGTGTTGGTATTGGAGGATGATTTAACCATTTGCCTGTTCACTATGGAACAGCACTATTAAGGATGTTCAGGTCTATTTGCCTTCGATTAAAACTCTCCTCCTTGCACTTTTTGTATCTCAGTACAGCTGGGGGAATTAGTGAAGAATTTCCTCTTAGTTAGTTAGCTTCTGTTCCCTGAAAAAGGGAAGGGACTTTAATTATTGGTTTCTTTTCATATTGTTTTTCTTTTATACATTATAGTAGGTCCATGGCCAAAGCCATTATCCAGCATTGCTGGATAATATGATGCTGTATTAAACACTTCTGTAGAACTCACATTTTAATTCCTTTTCCCTCCCATGGCATAGAAAGCAGTCCCCCAGCCGTGCTCAAAGGTTCTGGCGTGGCAGAGCCCCAAACTGCAGCCTGCATATGAAATTGTGTATTGTGTTTCCTTTGTTGTCTTTAACTGATTTTGATAAATGGATAAACTTCTATTTTTCTACAATACTACATGTCCTGTGCGATGATAGAATACTGCATTTGGCCTCCTGCAATTGTAGCATGCTTTGTAAAAGATTATTCAAAGTGTGATTTGATTTTCGAATAGATGCTTAATTTGTATAGTGCACAGAAGGTGGGTTTCCTTGATGCAACAATTTTTGGTTCCATTCCTCCCCCTCCGCCATTTTCTTCTTACAAAGCCCTGAGTATAATCCCTCCTGGCTAACTTCCTTCTGTGCCTTCCAACAGGTGAAGTCTTTGGCAGAGTCGATTGACGAAGCCTTGAACTGCCACCCACTGGGACAGGAGGGAGGGGCTGGCGGACCTTCCTTGGAAAAGAGTGAGTCCAAGGAGCAGCAGGGGGACAGTGCTGCCACTTCGTTCAGTGATGTAACGCTGTACCTGGATGAAGGAGCTCCCACGTCGCCCATCTCTCTGGAGCGCCCACCCAGCACTGACCCACCTGAGCCCACCACCGTGCCAATCCCACCACCACCACGGCCAGAGTACTGGGGTGGGCCACAGCGAGAGGACAGCCGCGAGAACGGTGGCAGCCGACGCAGCACGCCTTGTATGGAATGCAGGGACTATCGACTACGCGGGGCCCATCTCCCGTTGCTCACCATCGAGCCTCCCAGCGACAGCTCAGTGGATCTAAGCGACCGCTCCGATCGAGGTTCTCTCAATAGGGGTCTCATATTTGAGCAAGATGGTTGCAGTCCCCATGGCACCCTCAAGCACGCTGGCGGACCCACCCGTTCCCCACACCCACACCGGCATTATCACCCGGAACAAAACCAGCCACCCCCTCCTCTGCCAATACCGCCCCCTCAAGTCCCGGGGCGCCTGCCCCCACCTCCACCGCCGGACAACTCTGATGGGGACAACGACAGCCTCAACAGCACCACCAACTCCAATGAGACCATCAACTGCAGCTCGGGCTCCTCCTCCCGCGACAGCCTGCGCGACCCTCCCCCGCCAGCCCCAGCTGCCTCCTCGGCTCCCGGGGGGCCCTGCAAACAGACCTACCAGCGGGAGACGCGGCACAGCTGGGACTCTCCTGCCTTCAACAACGATGTTGTGCAGCGTCGCCAATACCGCATCGGCCTCAATCTCTTCAACAAGTATGAGATGCTTGGGCGGAGTCATGGGACGGTGCCCATGGAAGTTTCAGTAGTAGAAGGGTAGCCATTTTGGGGGGAAGCGTTGGGCCTTACAAGGAAGCAGTGGGCTTATTACGGAGAAGGCTCTGTTGGGCCTATTTCCCCCTGCTCTACAGCTCTGTCTCCTGCACTCTTTCCACACAACTCTCTCTTCAACTAGAGTTGAAGGTCTGAGGCCAGCTGGAGGACATGAGAGAAAGCATGAGGGAAAGCGGCGGTGGTGGCGGTGGTACTACCCTGCACGTCAGCTGTTAGGCGGGCAGGCGGAGCAGCCTAAACAAAACCCTGCTGTGCCTCCGGTCTCTCTGGGGCTTCCTCTGCCTTCACAGACATCCTCTTCAGGCTCCGGGGAGGGTCTCCTCATGAGCCACGAGGACTCTCCAGCTCTTTCCCGCCATTCCTGGTATTTTTCTATTTACCCCCCCCCCCCGGTGCTGCAGGTATATGCAGCCAAACAGGAGTAGAATGCGTGCAAGTGGAGGAACGATGCCTGTAGCCAAAGTGGCCTGTCGGCAGCTTGCAAGCAGGACCTGCCGTCACCAGTGCTTTCTCCCCACTTGTGATTCCCAGCAACTGATATTCGGAGGCTTGTTGCCTCTGACAGTTGAGGTAGAACAAAGCCACCGTGACTAGTAGGCATTGATAGCCCTTTTCCCTCATGAGCTTCTCTTCCCCTGAGCTGACCCCCACCCTGAGCAAGCAGGGCATACAGCCAGGCAGTAGGGGAATATCTCTGGATAATCTTTTTCACCCTGGGGGGGTGTTGTGGGGTTGCTCAAGCACATCATTTACTGTGGGGCATCAACAATTTCTCAGTACTTCCTAGTTGCCATGGTTTTTGTCCCACCCCTTCCCCTCTGGCTTCCCCTTTTTGTGTTTTGCCAAAATAATAATCGGAAGAAACTTAAGATGCAAATGTGAACAGATAGGCTCACACTGAATAACTCCTATTGGTCATGTGGTTTGGGGTTTCCTGCTTGCAGAATTTGGATGTTGGAGGGGAACAGTGTGCATGGACTTGACAATAATAACTTTGATGAAATTGCTGGGCAACCACAATGTACAAGCATCAAGATGGCACAGTTCCTCTAACTGAGGACGGTTTCTCTTTGTGTGCGTCTCCTCTCCTTCCAGGCTCAGCTAACAGGCTGAACCCAAACAATATTTGGCAGAAACAGGCAGTTGGAGGAGGAGAGAGACTGATTAGTTGCTGCTGACTTTTGGACTGCCAGGCCAGGTGCTTGGATATTGGCAGAGAGGCCCAGGCAGAAAATTTGGGGTCAGTTTAGAGACTGGGAAGTTCAGGTGCTGAAATCCGGTTGAAATTCCCATTTTGCAAAAATCTTACGTTGTAACTATGAGCCACCTCAGGAAGGCTTTTGCTCCATTTTGTCTATTTCTGCCTCGCATTACCCTCCTTTTTTATTGGCCATGTTTCTGTGCCTTTATTTATTCACTTTAAAGCTTTTATATACTGGTTTTCCTCACAAATTGGTTTCCATTTATTAACAAAACAATATTTTTAAAATGCCCCATCATAATAATGCAGTTTAAACACCAATAATTAAATGATGACAATTAATGTGGAAGAAAGAATAAAAGTAAACATTGCCTTCAAAGGCACAAGAAAGGCTGGAGCCATTGTTGCTTCTAAGGTTGGGAGGGAGTTCCATAACTGAGGTGCCACCATAGAGAAGGCCTTGCTGCAGGTCTCCACACTGAACTGCACTCCGTGGTGGAGCTGCAAGCAGGACCCCTCCTGTTGATCTCATGGTGCTGGGCAGAGGTGCTCCACCAAATAACAGGCTGACATGCAGAAATGTAAGCAGGTGAAACTTCCCCACCTCTTGTCATGGAACTAAGTGATGGGGGAAACTTCCACATGCTTAAATTTCTGTATGTCAGGCTGTTATTAAAGGCACTTGTAACACAGCCAGTAGAAAGGGGGCAGCCTAATAGCCTGCCTGTGCCCCCCTTGGTCCTAGCCCCCTTCCCTTCCACCTCTCCCAACTGGTTGATAACTCCCTGCAGTTCACACTGGTCTTCTGGGCCAAGGAAGGGGGCGGGGAAGGCTCAGATCCTGGCTTCCTGTTGCTCTTGGTAATTTAATTGCTACTGAGCAAGACAGCATCTGTTCCACTGGCAGGAGGCAGGCTCTTGAGGGCTGGGAGGCAGCCATCACAACATATTAACCAGCTGGAGTCATGACTCACGTTGAATCCTTGGGGCAAAGCGCCAAGCTGAGGGAGCTGCGTACCCTCCCTCCCTGGGAGACAAACCCTGCTCATTTGCAGATGGTTTGCCTGGCAGAAGAGGGATTAGAATGAGGCCCACTCAATATGCTTTGGTACTGGGAACAGAAAACCCAGAATGGTAACACCCCTCCCCCATTAGTCGAGGTAGATTGCTGTCCATCAGGGCGTTCTCTGCTGGGAGCCCCATTGTAATGAGCAGGAACTTCTCATGTGACTGCCCTGTCAAATCAAATCCAGTTGCCGCCTCCCACTTGGCGGCTTTTAATCATGGCTCAGAATTTGCTGCGTTGGCATGAGCGCCAGAGCTTGCTTCATGGGACTTGCCATTGCAGGTGCTCATTTCTGGAGAGATTGCACCGTGGTCCAATATCTTCTTTTTTTTTTTTAAGATATTTATTAGAATTTTACAAAATGAAAAAAATTAAAAATAAAAAAACAAAATAAAAATAGTAAAACAATTCCATCTTTCCATCACTTTCTTTCATTTGCTTGTTTCCTGGACCTCCTCACACCTCCCTTTTTGTATTCCAGTTCAATTTGTTAGTTCAGCAAATCCTTCCCCTCTTTATTTAATCTTAAAATAATATAATGTCACCTTAATCTACAAAGAAACAGAAGGCTGACTTCCTGTTTAGACCTTCCCGTCTCAGTACCAAATTGAAAAAAATTCTTTTTAAGACCAATTTCTTTCTGCTTGCAAATCCTTATTTAAAGTCCAATTATTCCAGGTTTAAGTACTCACGGGTGATTATTTTAGAAGCCAAATTGTCCCAAGAAGAAGGCAGCGCTCTCCGGCAACGGTTATGTGGCTTCGCTCCAACGGAAATAGCAGTTGACTCACAGCACCGCGCCACTTCCCCCTCTTCGCTTCGGAGCCCGTTAATGGGTTCCTTTGCGGGTTGGGGGGGGCGCTAAAGGTGCCTGCCGAGTCCCATGGTCACAGGCTTCATCCGCCTGTGATTTTTAAAGGGTCCCCGCTTTGCCGTAGCGGGCAAGACCCGTTTCGCGCTGAGCTAGTCCCTCTAATTCAGAGGGAATCCGCCATTGCCGATGGCGCCACCCCGGAAGTCCGTGGTCCAATATCATCCAGCGGGGGCATCTGCTCTCCAGCACACCTAGAGCAACTTTTGTGCCGTATCAATGCCTCATAATTAACACTTCCCTCATTGCTTATGCTATTTGGAAAATACTGGTAAACCAAAATGAGGCTGAGAAAAACTTTTCTCTTTGGGACCCAGATGTTAAGTTGTATCCCAACACACAAACACAAACAGGCCCCATGACCTCTTTTTGCCTCTTTTCCATATTTATTGGGGTGTAGGGAGACATGGTTGATGGGGAACAGTATTGCCTACATCTTGTGGCCACTGGAAGAATTCAGTACTGAAAGTTGAACCTATAAGCATGTGACAGAAAAAGATGGGGGACAGTGGCATTTCAGACTGCAGGAGAGGAAATTTTGGTTTTTAAAAACCAATTCTCTGTTAAAACTCCCTGAAAATGGTTCTTGTTTACTTAAAGAGAAATTATGTGTGCACATAACCAAATGGCAATGTGAAGGCTGAAGTGGAATCAAATGGAGAAAAGAGCCGTTAAGTAGTCTGCAAAAGCCGTTGACTAAAAGCAGTAAATACAAGACACATTAGGTAATTTAGTCGCCTTCCCTCACCTGTTTCCGTCCTCACCCCACTCCAGATAAGCGCATATAGAAACCATACCAGGCCGGGTCCTTTCTGCAGTCCTGTCCTCTGCCTGGAACATGTGGGTTTAGGTCCCCTGGCAAAGCTCCCCCACCCCACCCGGACCCGGATATCTTCTTCTGAGGCTCTCCTTTGTGTGCCTCTTCCTTAAGAGGTCCAGAGGGTGGCAACATGAGAATGGGGCCTTCTCTGTAGTGGTTCCCCGTCTGTGGAATGCTCCCCCCAGGGAAGTTCGCCTGGCTCCTTCATTACACACCTTTAGGCGCCAGGCAAAAATGTTCCTTTTTAACCAGGCCTTTGGTTGATCTGTTTGACATCCTATACCTTTTTAAAATGTGGCTCTTTTTTGGGGGGGGGGTATTGGGTTGTTGTTTTTATTCTGATTATATATGTTGTGATCTTTTCTGTGAACTGCCCTGAGACCTTCAGGTATAGGGCGGTATATAAACTATGATGGTGATGATGATGAAATAGGTGTTCTGCCCTGTATAACTGAGCTGGGGGAAGTGGGCTCCAGGTGAAAATGGTTCCAGGTGTGCATAAAGGCTCCTTCTCATCCCACCGGCAGGAAACCAGAGAAGGGAATCCAGTATTTGATTGAGAGAGGCTTCCTGTCAGACACACCGGTTGGTGTGGCGCGCTTTATCCTGGAGCGGAAAGGGCTGAGCCGGCAGATGATTGGTGAATTTCTTGGCAACCGGCAAAAGCAGTTCAACCGGGACGTACTGGAGTAAGGAGTTCTGCTTGATTCCTTCCCCCTCCCCCTCACCACGGTTTTAACTTTTATAGCTCATCCTGTTCCGCAAGGCTCACAGTACTTACTGTTGTCACATTTTTAAAAGAGAGAGAAGTAGTAGAAACACCGTAAGCTACCTTACACAAAGTCATAAGCCATCTCTCTAGCAATGGTGCTCCAGGGTTTGGGACAGGAATCCCTAGATGCTGGGGATTGACACATGTCAGGCCAGCATATCTCCCCCCCCCTTGCTGTTGTGTGTCACTGTCTGTCTTCTCTTGCCTTACAGTTGTGTGGTAGACGAGATGGACTTCTCCAACATGGACTTGGACGATGCTTTGCGAAAGTTCCAGTCTCACATTCGGGTGCAAGGCGAGGCACAGAAAGTGGAGCGCCTCGTTGAGGCCTTCAGGTAAGTTGGAGGTGCTGCCATCTTGCCAAGGTTTCCTTCTTGAGCAGTACAACTCCCTATCATCCTTTGGCTCTCACCATGTTGGCTACTGGGAGTCCAACACCCCACCTGGTGAGCACCAGGTTGAGGAAGCCTGGCCTACAGATCGAGCCATGGGCAATGAGGAGCATGTGGTTCTGTCCCAGAATATCTTTGGTTAATCACTGCAGTAAGAGTGTGGTTGTACTGTGATGCTACAACATATAGTGCCTGAATTATCCTGGACCAAGGGGCATGTAAATAATTTTTTTACTGTTAGCAACGATTCCTATATATATTTAGATGGAACACTGAATTTGTTTTTGTTGAAATAAACTATGAGCAAGAGGAAAAACAAAAACAACAACAACAACAACAATCTTTATTACGGTCCAGAGACCAACAAAACATTACAAATCAATACAGAGTTCATACAGCCTACCTCCAGGTTAATCAAGCACTTTGCTTGGAATATAGGGCTCATTTGTTCTTGCAACCACCGATAAAAACTTTGCCACTGCCAACGTTCTAGCGTTGCCACTGCCAACGTTCTTGTCCGGTCTTCCAGTAGGAACCTGACAACGTTCTTGTCCGGTCTTCCAGTAGGAACCTGACATAGTGAGCCTCTGACTTTCCCGGGAAAGGCACCAGCAAGGGTAGTATCAGTTCAGCCCTGGCCTGCTCATACTTTGCACAATGTAACAAAAAATGATTTATGGAATCGATGTCTTGAGCACACGAGCAAAGTCTGTCCTGGTAGGGAACTCCTCTCAACCTACCATCCAGCACTGCAGAGGGGAAGACATTCAGTCTGGCCTTGGTGAAAAGCCTTCGATAGTTAGGTACTGTCAGGTTTTTGATGTAAGATGTTAACTCAAAGACATACCCATATTGAACTCCTGCTGCCAGTGGACTACAGACTGCGTGTGACCGAGATCGCAAGTCACTGTGTGCATTGTCCCATAATCTTTGCTTTAAAATCTTTTGGGCGCCTTCATAGCCCAGGTAATACAGTTGGGGGGGAGATAGACCAAGAGAGGTGGCTTTTTTAGCCATGGTTTTCTGCCATTTGCTGACAAATTCCTCATTGGTCAAATGTTGGTACAGACCCTTCCCTAGATTAAACACTGAAATCCTGAGCCAATGTTTTAGGGCAGCCCACCACGCTGTAGCTGAAATTGGGCATTCACCAGCTTCCAACAGAAGTACGGAGTTGGGGACGCAGTTAGATACCTGCAGCAGAGATCGTATAAATTTTGCCTGAAAGCCATCTAGCTTTGGCAGGTCCCCATTATGCCAGACATTTGCTGCATACAGGAGTTGGGAAACGGGCTTTGCGTTGAAAACCCTTAAGGCTGCTGGAACATATTTGCCGCCCTTTGTGAAGAAGAATCTATGTATGGCTAGCTTTGTAATCTCCGCCTTTTGAAGGGAGGTTTGCCAATGGTGCTTCCAAGATCCTGTATGATGGAATGTGAGCCCTAGGTAACTGAAGTATTTTACCTGTTCAAGGTTATGGCCATCCAGCACCCATTTAGACTGGGAGAATCTTCTTTCGAAGACTAAGATTTTAGATTTTTCATAATTAATGGATAAACCATTTCCAGAACAGTAATCAGAAGATTTAAGAGGAAAAACACTAGAGTTTGAAGGATAGCTAAATAAACCATTCAACACTTAAATGGGCAGGTTTATGTGCTGACTCTGGTGTATAAATTTTGACTTATGTGGAGCTGGAGTAAGTTTCTAGCTTAATTAGATCCCTTTCTACAGCGTTTAAAAGCTGTTGTTTTGATTGGTCATATATGCGCATACATCTCCGTTTGCACGTATCCCACCCACCCACTCCATCCATCTGCTGCAAGAAAGAGCGGACAGGGAATATGTGTGTGGCTGTACATGCGTATATGAGCCTGACAAAGCAGTACGTGGTGGGCAGGCACAAGCAGGAGGTGCCCTCTTTCACCCCATTGTCTGTTAAGACTGCAGAGCATTGGCCAAAGTGGGTTGGCTGTAAATCTGACTGAGTAGTATTTAAGGACTTGACCCTGGATCCTAATACCACCTTTTCAAACTGTGAACTCTGTCCTGCAAATCCATATTTTTTGTCTAACTTAAAAGTTGCATGCAATTGATGGTAACTTAACCAATCTGTCACTTGATCTTTTACCTCTCCTTACTGTTTCAATTCATATTCCTCCCTGGTAACAGTTAGCAAGTCTCTATATGTACTCCAATTTGTCTCTGTGTTAATTTTTTTCCGTGCCAGAGCTTCCATTGGTGACAACCACATTGGTGTTTTTCTTTCTAATAGGTTTTTGTATTTTCCCCGTACCCTATAAAGATTTTTTTCTGATTATATGATTTGAGAAGCTCTTATATATTCTAGCCTTCCTGTACCACAGGCACTCATGCTATCCCAATTTTAGGTCATGCCCTTCCAGATCCAGCAAATAACTGTCCTTTAGTAAAATCCATTATTTCAACCAACATAAACATGATGTGTCAAAATACAATTGTAAGTCATGGAGGGCGAAACCACCTCTCTCTTTGCTATCAATCATAATCTTATGTTTTATCTTGGGTTTTCTCTCCTGCCAAATAAACTTAGATAGATCTTCCTGCCATTCCTTAAAGTTTCATGTATCATTGACTATAGGGACTGCCTGAAATAGAAATAGCATCTTTGCAAATCACGGACCTGTCCCTAGTAATCACAACACAAACTAAAACGTGGATAAGCCCTAAGTAATTGAATTTGGTACCCATTGAAAAATGGGACAAATTAGTTGTGACTTAAGTCCCATTTATTTCATTGGAAACCAAGTGCAACTAACTCAGTCTGGATCCAACCTATGTCTCTAAATAGATTAATCAGTGAATTACCTGCTCATAGTTACATACATTAGCCTGTTACAAAACATTTGTAATATGAGTTTTTGAATTGTGATATTGAAGAGAATGTGAGAGAACTTGTGTTTTAATAAAGAAAAGCTACTGTTAATTGTTAGAAGAAAAGGCCATATTTTTCTTTTTTTGTTCCATATTATAGTAATGCACCAGCACCAAAACAACCTCAAAAAACAAAGAATGTCTTTTAATTTTCAGCTTCATCGATTTTAAAATTGGGCTCCACCAGTAAATCAGCTTAATCCTTTGGTAATGAATCTGTTGATTAATCCAGCTTAGAGTGTGCAACCCTGCTATTTATATGACTAGAAGGCTGCCTGTAAATGAATGTAGTAGCTGTGAGTTGTATTCTTCCATAATGGGATGTGGAATTTTCATACATATTTATAATTTGAAAATAGAATAAGAGAGCCAATGAACCCCTTTAATTTTAGAACTTCCTGCCTCAGTATGAATTATACATTTTTTTGGGGGGGGGATACTATTTTTAATTTAGAACCCAGAATGGTTAGATAATGGCTTTTACTTTCAGTCCTCTAAAACCCCCCTTGTAGGATCCTGGGACCCCCATATCCCTCACAGAGCTCAGTTTCCAGAGTTCACTGGGAAGAGGGATTGACGGTTAAACCCCGAGGAAACCACTCGCCTTCAGCAGCAAAATCTCTTGAGCTGCTTCTGACTCTTCTCTTCCTCTGGCCTTTTGTGCCTTCTTTTCGCCTTGACTTCCACTGCATTTCGTTTCAGCCAGCGCTACTGTGTGTGCAATGCCCCCTTGGTGCGCCAGTTCCGGAATCCAGACACTATCTTCATCTTGGCTTTTGCCATCATCCTCCTTAATACCGACATGTACAGCCCCAGTGTCAAGGCGGAGAGGAAGATGAAGCTGGATGACTTCATCAAAAATTTGCGAGGTAAGCAAGAACAGCGTTGTCTCTTACGCTTGGCTCCTCATGATCACATGGTTGGAATCCCAAAGGAGTCTCCTACTTCCCTGGGAGTTCAGGGAAAGCACAAACTGTGTCAAGCATAAAATGCAGCTTCCCAAAAGCCGTGTGTGTGTGTGTGTGTGCGTGTGTGTGTGTGTGCGCGCGCGCGCGCATGTGTGTTTTAAACCCAACAGGTTTCTTGCCATTGTGGCGAAAAAGGCAGCTTGCAGGTGCACAAACAATGCCTGCTAAAATCTCAGAAGCCAGAGAGAGATCTGTAGCATACATTCCAAGTGTCCCGATTTTCCAGGGACAGGAAAATCCCAGAAGTCATCCCAGTTTCATTTCACCACTGGCAGGAAGTGAACTCTTTGGAGACTATACCTGGCACAGGACAACCCCTTTATCTCCAGTTCAGCTTCCTGCAAGCCACTGGCAGGCTGTTTTGCAAAAGAGAAGAGGCGGGAACGCCAACTTGGAAGGGATTTTTCCTTTGTTTGTTTGCTCCTTACCCTATTTCTGCTCCCTTCCGCTACTCCTACCGGGTTCTCATTTTCTCTCAGCTCCATAGAGCTCTGCTTTCCCTCCTCCCAGCATCCATATTCTGGGCCCTTTATTCTTTGTTTTTCGGCCTACAGCAGGGGTCAGCAAACTTATCGCGCCTTGGGCCGGTGTCTCCAGCGTCGATCACGCGTATGTGTTTCACAAGCGTTCCATATTGCTTTTACTAAAAAGAGATCCAAGCTTTGCTGTTGGCTTATTAAACCTGGCATGTTAGGGTGAAATAAACCACAATTCTTTATTCAGTCATAATGCTAACTTTCCTGGTTTGTTTACGCCCCTTGTGCAAATGAAAGACCAAAGCAGTAGTGATCAGGCTGTGTGCACCAGCAGATGTAAGCCTGGCTAGTAGTAGCATTAGATAAGTCATTCATTCCTCCAACCTCTGTCTTCAGTAATGAAATAATATTATTAGCTTACTTTGTTGCAAAGACTCATGGGAATAACCTATCAGCTGCTTTTGCTTTTAAATCTGGCCTAGTCTTTCCCTGCAGCCTATGGACTTGCTTTTGTTGTTGCTTCACCAGGGGTAGATAACGGCGAGGACATTCCCCGTGACCTGCTGGTAGGGATTTACCAGAGAATTCAGAGTCGGGAGCTGCGCACCAATGATGACCACGTATCTCAGGTCCAAGCAGTGGAGCGAATGATTGTGGGCAAAAAGCCGGTGAGTGGGAAGAGGCTGTCTGAGGAGATGGATTTGGGTTTACTGAAGGTTTCTGCCCCTCTTTTTGGCTCCACTCCTAACATTTTCTGTCTGTCTGTCCCACCCAGGTTCTCTCTTTGCCCCACAGGCGCCTGGTTTGCTGCTGCCAGCTGTATGAGGTCCCTGACCCCAACCGGCCACAGAGGCTTGGGCTGCACCAGAGGGAGGTCTTCCTGTTCAACGATTTGTTAGTGGTAAGGTCAGGGCAGGGAGCTAAGACCAGGTTTTGGTGGTGGAGGGAGGGTTAGATGATGGAGTTGCTTGTTTTGAGCAGATTTGGCTGCCTCACCATGCACCTGCTTTGACATGCCTGGGTGAAGTTGGACCTTGTGGACATTGTCACAAAAATCTTCAAGATTTCTTGGAAGAAGCTAGGACTGCTGAGCTGTGCTTTATACTTGCCTGTCTGTCTGCTGCCTCCTGGTTCTCTCCCGCAGTGCTTTTGTGATGCCACATGGCCATTGCAGGAGACTGACTAATTAAAAAAAATATGTTTTTGTCAGTAGCACCACATAGTAAAGAAAAGGACTCTGTGGATAAATTTAATTAATGAATCTGTTTTATACATCCATGCCGCATTCCATCCAAGCTTAGCTCCCACTCTGCTCTGAAAACATCCATAGGAAAATACCTTACGGGTTGAACAGACAATAAGAGCAAATAAGTTCTTAACTTGTAGGTTAGACTCTTGCAACTCAGGAAAGAAGCAGGTTTCAGCCAATTGGGTGACTGTAATTCTGAGCACTGTGCTTGGGTTAGTGAACAGTTAGCTCACTGCTCTCTCTCCTCCTCATTGATCCTTTGCTTTCCCACTGCATCTCCTCACACCATTTAGGTGACAAAGATATTCCAGAAGAAGAAGATCCTTGTGACCTACAGTTTCCGCCAGAGCTTCCCTCTTGTTGAGATGCAGTTGCAGCTCTTCCAGAATTCATGTGAGTTTCTCTTAACCATAGGTCATGATACAGGAGCCTAGAAGCCTGGTTGCTGCATGAACCCAAGGCTCAACCAGCACAACATACTATCTGCTCTCCCAGATCAGCATCTTTTCTCCATTCTCTCTGTGATTAGTCCCCTGAGCTCTTCTCAGTGATCCACACTGATGTTGTGCCTTCAGCCCCATACCTATTGTGGACCTCATGCCTCATGCCTTTGTCTGTAGCTGGAGACGTTTTGGTTCCCCATCTTGGAGCAAACCCTTTGTCGGCTCAGCTCTGTGTTGCCAGTTACCCGCATTGAAGGGGAGGGTGAGTAGTGGGGCCCACAGTCACCCAGCATCTCACTCTCTGCCACCCAGATTACCAGTTCGGGATTAAACTGCTCTCAGCTGTTCCTGGTGGGGAGAGAAAAGTCCTGATCATCTTCAATGCCCCCAGCCTGCAGGATCGGTTGCGCTTCACCAGTGACTTGCGGGAATCCATTGCTGAAGTGCAAGAGATGGAGAAGTACCGTGTGGAATGTGAGTGATGGGTGGGGATTGTTGAAGGACAGGAGGGGGGACATGGATAGGAAGGGAGGCAGCGGGTGGGATAATGGATGAGGGTTGCTGATGGCATCATTGGGGCAGCATCCAGCAGCCCAGGTTTGCCAGAGTGGACTGGAAGACATTCAGGGAATAGGATGACTTCTCCCACTGGGCTAGATAGGCAGGGCCTTTTGAGTCTTTTGCCTCCTCTTCCAGGGGCCACCCTCCAGTTCTGCCCTACTTCTGGTCAAGTTAGCAGGTTCTTTTTTTCTCTGTGTTTCTCTTTTGCCTTAATTCTTGCTTCTTCTGTGTTGTTTATTGTCTGTAGGAGTTGGCTGAGACCAGGTTTTGTTTTGTTTTATTTTTTGGTGTCATGGCTGCTGAGCCATGTTTCATTGATATTCTGCCACTCCCACTGCAGCCCCTTATGGGTGAGGGGCAGGATCCTGAGGGTTCTCTTTTGAAAGTCCCCAGACACAGGGAATATTTCATATTGCCTTCTCCAGGTGTCATGAGTGGGGTCCTCAGCAGTGCTCAGTCCACACACCTTTCTGAGGTTTTCCCCAGGAAAAGGGAATTTCCTAAATTTATGTCATGGAGAATAATATACCGTATTTTTCGCTCTATAAGATGCACCAGACCACAAGATGCACCTAGTTTTTGGAGGAGGAAAACAAGAAAAAAAATATCTGAATCTCAGAAGCCAGAACAGCAAGAGGGATCGCTGTGCAGTGAAAGCAGCAATCCCTCTTGCTGTTCTGGCTTCTGTGATAGCTGCGCAGCCTGCATTCGCTCTATAAGACGCACACACATTTCCCCTTACTTTTTAGGAGGGGAAAAAGTGAGTCTTATAGAGCAAAAAATACGGTATATTTCTAAGGAAATTAAAGGCTCTATACACAGGTCTAGTGGTCATAAGAGAACCAGATCCCAATCTAGAAGGCATTCTACACATAAGTACAAATGCAAGCACCTACCTAAGAGACAGAGGGACGTGGGTGGCGCTGTGGGTTAAACCACAGAGCCTAGGGCTTGCCGATCAGAAGACTGGCGGTACGAATCCCCGCAATGGGGTGAGCTCCCGTTCCTCGGTCCCTGCTCCTGCCAGCCTAGCAGTTCGAAAGCACGTCCAAGTGCAAATAGATAAATAGGTACCACTCCGGCGGGAAGGTAAACGGCGTTTCCGTGTGCTTCTCTGGTTCGCCAGAAGCGGCTTAGTCATGCTAGCCACATGACCCAGAAGCTGTATGCCGGCTCCCTTGGCCAATAAAGCGAGATGAGCGCTGCAACCCCAGAGTCGAACACGACTGGACCTAATGGTCAGGGGTCCTTACCTAAGAGACATGAAGGGGGCAGATCTCACAGGTCTCAAAGCCCATGTTTTCTGCCATGGGGTTTTTCCTCTCATGGGTACACTCCTGCATTGACAAAGAGATTAAAGACTCCCTTCCTCATAGCAAACACAGAAGGGAGATCTAAAAGTCATAAAATGAGGAGATCCCACAGATTTCCACCAAATAGCCTATCTCCTCTTTTAAGCTCCTCCAGGAGTTTTTCTCAAGGCTGCTTCTGCCAAAAGTGTCAAAGAAGGAGTTGGAATCTGCACCTGAATCCCCCCCCCCTCACAGCCCTTTCTTGGCAAAAGCCAGCCCGATTTTTCAGCTTACTGAGGACCAGCCTGTTGAACCCTCAGCCTGCTCCCTGGCTATGGGTGTTAAATATCTTTTCCTTCTGCCAAAACAGCTACAGTGCTTTTTCTATAAGCCTTCAGTTGTGTTTTGCAAGACTGAGTGGGATTTTCCCAGTAAGTTGTTTTAGCTTTCCTTTTCATTATTCCCCTCATCACTAATTCCCTCAGGGTTTTTTTTAATGAGATTCAAAAACCCAATTGGGTAACTTGTTTATTTTGTAAAATTTATGTATGACTTGAGTGTAAGAACAAAAAAGCTCAAAGAAGTTTACAAAATGAAGGGGAGGCCTCTGTTCTGTGTGGAGGCATTTACAAGCACAATTGGTCCTTCTAAATAGCTACAGTCTGAAATGATGATATTTATTTAATTACCTCATGAGGATATTTAGGAGTTCCCTAGAGGAATTACCCTGCTGGATGAAATGACAAGATGAGCTTGTCATTTTTCGAGTTTCAAGAGGCTTCTTCCTTAACTATTAAATATATATAGTTGCCTCTCTTTTCACAGTTTTCAACTCATTGTCTTAAGCAACCCCTGAAATACACTCCATGTAGTTTTCTGTACAGTATGTGTAACTTGGCTATGGCTTATGCATGAGGGTAGACACAACCTCAATATGCTAGTCTGTTTTTTCTGCCTACATGTTGACAGTTCAGTTAAATAAAGTGTACATTATTAATGCAAAATAAATTTTCCTCATTCCTTTCTTTGACAGATAGTTCCTTTGGAGAGTTTTGAAGATTTTTTAAATAGAATGAAGGACAAGAAGATGCTTTCCTCCTTCTGTTGCCTAATTAAGAGGAACAGCAACCCCCAAGCTTTCTAGTAGTCCATGACATCCTTTCAAATGGTAGTTCAAGTATGGGGATGGCTGGCACTGCATTGGCCCCCATGGCATGGCAGGATCCTGCCACTGTGCAGAGGTTGAGAAGCTTATCTAGCCAGAGAAGCTGGTACTAAAACATTCAGGAGTATTGTTAGCTGAATGTACTGGTGTATATTAGGCAAGTTCTTTCTCCTCTTATCAGGATTCAGTCCTTTTGGGCAGAGGTGATTTTTATAGCTCCATTTTAGCTCAGGTCTCCAAGGTTTCCAGATCTGCTGAATCTGTTGGTACATGGATCTTCTCAGTTAGGGTCCAGTGTTCCATCCTCACCCAGACCTCTTCCACCTGACTGCTTGGAGGCTGAAAGGATCTGGTTGACCTCACTGGATTTTACTGGCTTCCAGAAGGGCATCAACCAAATGTATTTACTGCTCTACCTGGAAGTCTTACCTGTCTTGGTGTTCCTGGTCTGGGGTGGGTCCTCTCTCGCATGACATTCATGATTTTCTTCCATTTCTTCAGGAAGGGATAAATAAGGGACTTAGCACCATCACCATCAAAAGACAAGTGGCCTCCCTTAGCAGTGTTTTTTTCTTGTCTGGATAAGGATCTGTTGTCTTCCCATCTGATGTTTAAATGTTTCCTCAGGGGGGTTATTTGTCCTGCACCCTGGTCATATATCGATTCCTTTCTTGGAATTTAAATTGGGTTCTTACAGCTTTCATGAGTGTGCCTTTTGACCCCTTAGTTCCTAATCCAATTTTTTTAACGTTGAAAATTGTTTTCCTAGTAGCCATTACTTTGGCTCATTGGGTTTCAGAGTTGGGGGCCTTGTCCTCTGATCCACAGCTCAGCATTTTTCATCACAATAATTTGTGTTATGTCCAGACTTTTCTTCCATGTCCAAATTTAATTCAGATTTTCAGAGAAACCAAGAAGTGGTGCTTCATTCCTTATATCCCCTTCATTCTCTTTTGGAGTGTGAATTCACATATTTTTGCTGTCTTGGTTTGAATGAGAGGATAACTGTTGTGCTATGTAATTTCCAAATGCAAACTGTGTCTGTTTTGGCATAGGTTTTTGTGCTGGGCATCGTCACCATGGCTGTGCTTATCTTGCGGGGGGTGGGATGACATTATCAACTCTGCCAGTTAGTTCTGGGGGGCAGGATGGCTCCTCCCCTGGAAGAGGAGGCAAAAGATTTGAAAGGCCCTGCCTATCCAGTCCAGTGGGAAGAGTCATCTTACTCACTGAATACCCTTCAATCCATTCTTCAAACAGAAATTCATGGGAAGCAACACTTTCCATTTTTTGAAAAGAAGCCCTGACTCAAATAATTGTGAGGCTGCTAGGCTAGCCTGAATTGAGGTTTGTAATAAGCCAAGGGGGGTGAGAAGAGGGTTTGAGAGCAGAACTGTGTGCATTACACAATACTTAAATGATTCTAGTCCTCATTGCTATGGAAATGGATATGAAAATGGGTAATAATAATAATAATAATAATAATTAATACCCCACCCATCTGGCTGGCTTTCCCCAGCCAATCTGGGCAGCTTACAGAATATATAAAACATAAAAAGCATCAAATATTAAAAACCTCCCAATACAGGGCTGCCTTCAGATGCCTTCTAAAAGTTGTATAGTTCTTTATCTCCTTGACATCTGAAGGGAGGGTTTTCCACAGGGAAGGTGCCACCTTTGTGATTTTCCATTTCTTATACATGCCCTTCTTACATCTCAGCCCATCTGTAAGCTGCTTATGCAGCCACACCAGTTTCTTTAGATGCCTCCCACTGTTCAGGGATGATGGGTATTGTAGTTCAACAACATTTCAAGGGCTGCTGGTTCTCTTCCCCTGTTTCAGATAAAACCCTGCAAATGTTTCATGATTTTTGTTTATTATTTCCAAGCATCACTTGTAAACTCCTTTGGTGTAAACTGGAAGCAAGTCCTGTTTGTCGGGGAGGGCTGAGAAGCATCCAGCAGAATGGCCCCCAAATCTCACTGCCTCTCTCTTTTTTTTCTACACACAGCGGAGCTAGAGAAGCAAAAAGGAGTGATGCGCCCCAATGCCTCCCCCTCATCTGGGCCCAAGGATGCAGTGAATGGGACCCTGACTCGCAGTAGCCTGGAGGATGCCTACACTGTGGGAGAAGGGCTGAAGCGGAGTGCCCTCAGCAGCTCCCTTCGGGACCTCTCTGACGCAGGTGAGGGGCTGGGGGTCAGGACCTTCCATGGCTCCAGGAGGGGAGAGCCTAGTGGGCTTCAGGCTGGGATGAAGATAAGGAAGGAATTTCTGGGTTTATGCTGATGAGAACTTTAAAAGAAACATCACTAGATTCCACAGGAAATTAAATTTGTGACAGGTCTTGGGATTTTTCTAGCATGCCAGGCTTTGCCAGGCATCCTTGAGGGATGACATCACTGACCCCCCCCCCAAGTGTGTTAGAGGCCTTTGCATGCCTCTAGTAAAGCTTCGTGAGCCATTTTGGGTTCCTTTTTTGTAGATTCCAGACTTTGGGCCACTTCATACCAGTTTTCTGGTAGGGCATTTTTCGAGACTACCACTTCAGGGTTTAGATGTGGCAGTTGCTTATTTGAATGAAGAAGTAAAATCCCTACGTGTAGGAAAATGGCAGGCCATGGAGAAGTCTAGGCTGAACCTTCTCCTTGGCATGCTAGTTTTTATTTCCTGATGTCGACCACACAGTGCCATTTGCAATGCACTGGAGCAGGGGGTTACCAGAAAAGCCTTTGACACTTGATTCCACTGAAGACTCACTGTCTTTCACATGGATGTTTTGGTGGCATCCAGATTTTTTTTAAAAAGCTCAGTTCTTCTCAAACTTTGCTTGATTTTGGTTCCACTCCAGAAATCAGCCCATCTCTAGAATGTAATTATTGTGGCTCCCTCTACTGGCTAAAAAGAACATGTAACGTATGGATAATGTTTCATCCACCATGATTTTAATTCTAATCCACAAATCTGACTAAAAAACATTGAGCCCTGGGATTTGGGATTCGTAGTGTTGGTTGGGTGGCTGCTGTTTGCTGGTGACTCAGTGCTTTTGGTGGATGGATGTGTCTCTCTCTTGCTTTTTGGAGCCAACCTGAGTGTGAGGAAGGGTGCTTATTGAGCATTCTGATTTGTTCACAGGGAGATTATTGCTTAATGCTGCCTATCCCATCTTGAGAGGTTAGATGACATTGCATCAAAGCAAAGTGCTACCCCACACATTTTCCTATCACTTCCCTTACTGCTAAAGTCTGAACTTTTCAGGAAATGGGTTTGTTGCACAAGACCTCTCACTCAGCTATAATTGCGCAGCTCAAATGCAGTGGTCTGTGACTGAATCCCACCTAAAATAACAGCTTGGAAGTGCCTGAAGAAACCCTGTGTGTGTGTGTGTGTGTGTGTGTGTGTGTGTGTGTGTGTGTGTTAAAAAGGGGGCAGGACACTGCCGAGGGCATACATTGACACAGATAATGACACAAGAGCAGAAGAGGCCCCCTGCTTCCTATAGGCCCGTAAGACCATGGCCACGCTGCATCTGACTGACGTGGGAGAGGGGAGGAGACTCTCTCTGTATTTTAGGTCCTGTCTTCTGCTAACTCTTCCTCTGCTCTGTTGCTGTGCTTTGTGGGATTGGGTTGTGGGATGGCTGGGGGCTCTTGGCCTGGGCTGCCTTTTTCCCTCCCCTCCAAAGTGGGAGTGTTGGCTGTAAGGGAGGGGCAGGGTGGAGTTCAGGTCTCGCTAACCCCTGCTCTGTTGCAGGCAAGCGGGGCCGCCGTAACAGCGTGGGATCCTTGGACAGCACAATTGAAGTAAGTGGGCTGAAGGAGGAGGAGGAGGAGGAAAGGGAGCCAGAGATTGAGGGTGGGGAGGGACACAGGTGGAGTTTCCCCAAGCCTTCCCACTCTCTGCCTTGCAGCCTCTCTGTTCTCTCTTTCTCTCTCTCTTTCACATTTACTTCCACTCTTAGCAGAGGAAGACACAGAGGTTTAAGGGATGTGGGAAGTCATTTCTTTGGTGCAGAAGAGTTGGCGGACTCGTCCCAGTCTGAATTACTTTTAGTTAAAGCCAACCCTTCTTCAGGCAGGCAGAAAAGTATGGCCATCTTTGAGTATCAAGTCCTAGCCCCATAGATGTGGGGGAATTATAGGAGCCAGTTGTCTAATACCCCATCTTTCTCTCTGTGTGTGTCTCTCTTTCTCCTTTCTGCTTCCTTTCCCTCTTTCTTCCTGCTTCTCCACCCACCTACATCCCTTCAGGGGTCTATTATTAGCAGCCCACGCCCCCACCAGAGAGTGCCACCGCCTCCCCCTCCCGAGGAGTACAAGCCCCAGCCTCGGCCCCCCTCAAACTCCTCGTCTTTCCTGGGCTCCCTTTTCGGCAGCAAGCGTGGGAAGGGCCCCTTTCAGACGCCCCCTGGCCAGGCCTCCGCCTCCTCCTCCTCGGCCTCCTCCTCTCACCACCACCACCCTCACCACAGCCACCCCTCCCTCCCGGATGGCAGCCAGTCCAAGCTGCAGGCTCTCCATGCCCAGTACTGCCACGGCCCCTCGGCCCAGCCCCCGCCTCCCTACCCCCAGCAGCCCCCTCCTCCCCAGCAGCCGGCCCCACCCCCGCCCCCACTAGCCCTGCCCTCCAACCCCCTGCCTCCCCAGATCCAGCGCTACCACCACTCCCAGCAGCCCCCGCTCTCCGCCCCACCACAGAAGCAGGCCGTCCCCGCTTTCCCCACCCCACAGCCTCACCACCACTACACCCTCGGCCGGCCCGTCCAGCAGAAACGCGCCCACCAGATGGCTGCTGCTGCCGCTGCCTCCCAGCACCCCCCTTTCCTCCATGGGCGCCAGCCCACCTCGCCGCTGCCCCTTTACAGCCCTGCCCCCCAGCATGCCCTGGCCCACACTTACCCCCAGCAGCTGCATCAGTCGGGGGTCAGTGGGCAGCACACCCTGCATAGGCCCCAGGCCCCAAAGCACTTTATCTTCAGCCACCACCCTGCCCAGCTCATGCAGCGGCCGCCTCCGCCCCCCAGCATGGGGCCCTACCCTGGACACCACGGCCACCCTGCGCACCCGGCTCAGCAGCACCACGGCCAGCCTCCCATGCCCCCTCCCCATTCCCCCATCCCCCCACACCCTTCCTACCCACCCCTCCCGCCTCCGTCCCCTCACACGCCCCTCAGTCCCCACTCTCCAGCTGCCCCTACCTCCCCCCTGCCCCAGCACATCTCCATGCACCAGGGGGGCCCTCAAGCCATGCCCTCCCAAGGGCCCCCCAACCCGAAACAGAAGCCGGTGAACAGAATCAGCACCGTCGTGTGAGGAACACCGCCACCACGGAGTTGATAGGTTATAAATATATAAATATCGGAGCTCGGGGCTTCTCCCATCACAGCTGTGAGGTGGTCAGGAGGGGTGGGGGCCAGTGGGTGTCTAGACCTTTTTGGCCATTCCCCTTCTTCCTCCCCACTCCATACCCCCTCCCTCTTTTTCCTAGGATCAGAACTGAGAGAGGGCATCCTTCCAACCAATGCCTCGGAAAGGAAGAAATTGGGATCTGCAACCCCACTTGTGGCCTGAGGGTGGCGCCACTTAGCACTTGGGCTTCTCTGTTCCCTTCGTGTCACCCCTCCCCCTTTCTGGTCAGAAAATGGGGTGTCTGAGGACTATGCGGCAACTTTTCAGAGACGTTGAAAACATGAGGTGCGAGAGGGGAAAACTCTTCTGCATTTGTGCAGCCATTGTGATCTGTTGCCACGCAGAGTGTTTCCCCTTGGACTCTTCCCTAAATGTGCTACAGATGGAGATGGTATGGTGTATGTATACCTCATTCATGCAAACAGCATGCGAAGCAGTAAAACTGTTTCTGGGTGGTCTAAAAAACCAGGTGCCAGGGCGGATTCCAGCCTCTCTTCCCTGATACGCTAGCTGTGTGTGCGGGGGGGGGGGGGGGATTTGACAGTGCAGTTTCCCCTTGCAGTTCAAAGTGGAACAGTCCAGGAACAGTTTAATTGCACCATCTGTTGTTTTTGTGCAAAGCAAGTCAGACATGCTAGTGCCAGGGACAACTTGTGCAGTGTGGCAGTTTTGAAGGCATAAGAATAAGCTGTAGAGTGGAACTTGCACTTTTGCACGATCCCACTCTCTCGAATGACTGATACTTCTTTTGCTCCTGGCGTTGGACTGTGCACCAGCATTTGCCCACCTGCACCAAGTCTCCGTGAAATGTTAGCCAAGTAGCAGGCAGTCCCCCATGGCTGCCTTCCGTGTGTCTTGTTTACATAGCAGGTGGCCATTTATCAGACCTGCCCGAAGAGCATTGCTTTCAGCTCAGAAGGAAGACCGAAGGAGAGCCTCTTGCTCCCCACTCCCCGCCTAACTTAAAATATCTGTCTGCTCCAGTTTTTAATAGCAGCTGTGAATGAGCAGCAAATTAAAGGTGGGTATGTTCCAGAGCAGGGTTTCCCAAACTTGGGTCTCCAGGTGTTGTTGGACCACAACTTCCATCATTCCTAGCTAGCAGGCCCAGAAAATAGGGATGATGGGAGTTGTAGTCCAATAATGGCTGGTGACCCAAGTTTGGGAAACCCTGTTCTAGTCCAACAGTTCTGTTTGCAGCCAATTCCCCACTTGGAATTTGATGCCACAAAAGACTAAGCAAGCTTTGCTACTGTATTGAACTCTCGATTGAGTGTTTAAAGGAACTGGCTGAGGCCCAGTTCACACAACCTAGGAACTGCTTCTCTGCCACTTCTTTCAGGCTGCCCTGATAAGCATTGTGATGATGAGTCTGCTGGAGAAGCTGCTACTGCCCTACTCCCAGCCACCGTTAGGTGGGCCATACACACGCAGCCAGGCCAATGGTTCTTCTACCCCAACAGCAGTTCTGAAAGCTGTCTCTAGCATGACTTACTTTTTAAAAAGCAATGTTCAGTCCATCTAAAGCACTATTTCCATTAGTTTCTCAGGGCTCAGCCCTGAACATCCCCAGTCAATTGAAGATGGGAATGTAGTAACTCTCAGCTATACAAAGAGGGGCAAAAATAGTTACCAGCCTCTCTTTTTTTGAGCTGTGTGGGCTCCTGGGCTTGACTTAAGCATGTAGTAGTTGCATGGAAGAGAAGCCCTGCTCTATGCCAACAGGGTCTGGCACTTTTTTCTTTTTTTGCAGGTGGGAGCAATGCCTCCCTTGCCCAGGTGTTCCTGTTTGTACCAAGCGCAGGAGTGGGGGGCGGAGAGAAGAGTCAGCAAGGCAGGGCAGCTGCAGGCAGATCCCTTGCTTCCCATTGCAAGCGCCTCGTTGCGCTCTGTGGCCCAGTGTGTCCTGGCACGGGGCCTGCAGGTTGCTTCTCTCCCCTCCCCCTCCCCCAGCCTTTTAATGTTTTGCTGCCTGGGTGATTCCAGCATGCTTTCTCCCCCCCCCCCCCCGCTTGGTGGCATCTGTGGTGGTCGCCAGGGGTTTTATCTTTCTGAAGGATAGTTTTTCATAGTTTTATAAAATAGCCTTTTCCACTTCTCTGCCTGTTGGCTTGTTCTGTAGGAGGGAATGGAGACGGGGCCTTTGGTGCTCCTTGGCATTTTGCAGAAAGGAGGCTCTCCTTTTTAGTTTGCACAGAGTTTATGAGTTTCTGCTGTTTAAAAGGAAGGAAGGAAGGAAGGAAGGAAGGAAGGAAGGAAGGAAGGAAGGAAGGAAGGAAGGAAGGAAGATACTATGTAGAGCAGGGCAGATCATCAGTATTTTGGGGGAACTTGGGAAGGAATCTGTCTTGCCCTCTCAGTTCTTATTCATAAAGGGCTATTCTTACTCCCTTCCCACCCCTATCAAGGGGTTTGCACTGAAAACATTTTAAAAGGGTGAGGGGTGTTATATATTCTCTGGATATATTCCCTCACTGAACTGCATAGAGAGGAATATAGGAGTGGAGGGTGGGGTGTAATTCTCTCCCCCCACCCAGTTTGTTCTTTTATCCTAGAGTGTTTCTCTGCCTTACCAATAGGGGAGAGACACTACCACCTGCCACACACACCGGTTCCTTGGGAGCTTAGATGCACTTTAACCCCCTACTTCCTCATTCCTTTGCCTCTAGAAAAAGGTGGGATCCGGTTTTTCCTGTCCCAAACCAAGCTAATGGAGCCCATTCATGCCTAACCTTTCCTCTCACTCTCCCTTCCCCAAAGACATTACCTTGAGCCACTACCCTCCCCAGTCTAGTCCGTGTGGAGACAGGACTCCGGGCAAAGGGATATGGAGGTAGGCTCAAGGGTGCCAGAGGATGATTTCAAAACATAAAAGTTACAGTGCCTCGTCTGTATATTTTTAAGGAGATGCTATGAATGTTGGTGGAAGAAATTATTTTACATTTTAAAGTGGTGCTTCTGATAGTAGAAGCACACTATTTTTCTAAAGAGAAAAGTGGAGGCCCAGCCAGAGTAGTGACGGGCAATGGCTGACCCTCTCTGAAGGCAGGCTCTTCTTTCTGCAGTGTGTGAGCAGAAGGACCCGGCTTCAGAGGCAGCAAAAGCTGGAACCTTACAGGAACCAGAATTATTTAATAAACCTAATTGTTGCTGCACTCTACACGTGAGTTTCCTCAAGTCATGCCAGTGGGTCACCTCAACCAGTTTTACGAATAACTGCTCAACAAAAGCAGGCAGGATTTCTGGCCTCTAGCTCTTTGGAGGATGGGGAAAAATAATCAGAGGACCAGTTAATGGAGGGTTTTAGGAGGCTCACTGACTCTCAGCCTCCATTCCTCAGCTTCTCCATCCTCCGCTAATTGACTCCACAGCCTTGAAGGAACTCAGGAGTCCGGCCTGTACCGCGAGTAGGTGGTGGTGGTTTTCGCCCTGCTGTGGTTGCTCCCAGTTCCATCCTGCGGGGTCTGGGCTCCCTTCTCCTTCCTTCCCTCCCTCCCCCCATTCTCCATATCAGATCTTCCCACCCTTTGCCCTCCCCCCAGCATGCACTTTATCCCTACCCTGCACTGCACTTCCTGTGTTGGGTTTGTTGCTGTACAGAGATTCCTGTGTATATACTATATATTATAAATAGCAACCTCTTAAGAGAGGAGGGGGTGGGTGGGCTCCAGCCCATGTATTTTCTGCAGCATGGGCCACTCTCTGCCCTTTCTCCCAGAATTCATGGCTGGAAGACTCCAAACTGACTGCATTTTTTTTCTTTTTGTTTCTTGCTGTCTCCCACCCCCTCACCTCTGGTCCACTTTGTACATAAGAAACTGTATATTTGATGCTTCATAAATTGACCAAATGTCCTTGCTGTGTGAAGGAAGATGTCTTGTGTGTTATTTTAAGATTACTGGGCATTTTGGGGGGAGGGATGGGAAACAGAGTGTTGGTCCTGCAGCAGAGTTCCTCCTTGTTCCATAAACCAGCCTAGTGCTCTCTGGAGCTGGTAGTGTTTTCCCACCTGGCGTATGCCGTTTCAGAGTGTAGAGGAGATGTGCATAATTCACAAGAGCCTGCCAGGGCAGCAGGAGCACCACAGAAACAGCTTTCTCCAAAGCTGTACGTTTACCATAAATTCAGTATGACAGGTAGCCATAGAGTACTGACTACTGTTAGAGGGCAAGTCACCTTTTGTTTAACCTTTCTAATCCTTGTGACTAGAAATAAGCTATGTGAGTGTTGAGACTTTCAGTCTTTTGTCTTAATTTAGAACTCATTTTTAATCAAGCTCTTTCTTCTCAGCCTCTTTGCACACCATACATACAAATAAAAACCATCAGCACATTTGTAACAGTACACAAGTTTATTCCAGGAAACTAGCAGGTGAAGCCTGGGTCCTAAGTGGCTCAGAGGTGCATGCAAACTTGGGGTTGTGTAGAAGTTGTGCCTCCCCTTTCCTGCCAACTAGGACTGGGATAGTGCCCCCAAATATGTGGCACTATTGCACACAACTCCTGGGAAAAGGTAAGGCTAGACCTCCCTCTGCAGCAACTCTCTTATCATCATCTGCTCTGCAACAGTTGATGTCCCACCTCTATAGTTGTGAGCGTCTTCAAAGCTACCTGTGCCCATTTCTCTGCCTAGCCAGCATCAACCACTTTCAGGGCAGTAATGAAGAATAAAGACAGTCAGCAGCAGATCCACATGCACACCACTGCCTGCTTAGTGCTCAGGCAGACACACATAAACAAATTGCTTCACTTCATATTTTTAGCAAATGCACCAACATTTGGGGATGGAAGAAAGCTCTCCTGCACTTAGGACAAAAGCTGCCAAGAATGTAGACTGGCCAAACCAGCAATGACTCAAGGATACAGCTGTGGAGAGAAGGAATTCAAAATGTGGACAAAAACAGTAATTTAATACCGACTGGACTAGCAAGGCTGGAAATGCATGAATGACCAACGAGGCAGTGGATGAGGACCAGGCTTCAGTTCAGCACAGAGATGCTGGCTCCATAGTGTTGACCAGCCAAATACTTAACTAGACAGGCTCTTGCTCTGGGCCAGAACCAAAGAGGGCTCAAGACCTCTCCGCTCCAACTGGGAAACAGCACCAGAAGGCTCAGAAATGAAGGCTGGCGTGGCTCTGGGTGAATGGTACTCAGTGGGTTGGAGCCATCAGAAGCAGTGGGTTCCCCTCACCAGAGCTGAGTCTCACGGATTTCTGAGATAGTTTGGCTGGCTTTTTGCAATGCCTATAAGAGAAGAGAAGACCTTGCTGAGTGATTAATAGATGTTCTAATGCCATCTTTCAACCCAAACGGGCTGGGCTTTCAAGGTAGTGGTGCCAGAGCATGGGCGCTAGTCTGACTCTGAAGGCAAGGGGACTTGCCGCAGGGTTTCATTTGTGAAGAGTCAGTTATCCTGGATATAGGCTTTTAGAAGTTTTCAAAAGTCAGAGAAGCAGTGCAGTTCTTTCAGCATTTGGGAAACCTAAAAGTAAGAAACTGCTGCTGAGCCAGAGAGAACTTTCCCCATCTCCTGTCAGTAGCTCCTAAAGTCTGTCCAAGGAGCCTTGCCCTCCTCCCCTCACCTTGAGCATATTGGCAGCCTCATTGCGCTGCTGAGCCATGTCCTCGGACTCTGTCAGCAACGTGTCGAGGAGCTGTGGCTTGTACAACTGGCCCACGAGTTCACTCTGAAGGTGGTCTTTGACGTAGTTCACCAGGAAGTGCATCACTGTTTTGGGGACACTACAGGGGGGAAATAAGATATATTTTCTTATACAGCTTGTGAGATCTTGCAGACATCTGAGGCTTACCTTGCTAGGCCACAATTCCCTTCTTGCCACAACCTTACCTCCCCTGCTGGCCCTACAGGGCTAGGTAGATCCATCACCTCTTTAGGTGACCCCCTGGACCAACAGCTGCTACTTACCCAATTACATCATTTCTTATTCAAAAAGTATTGAGCTGTGAACTGGTTGCAATAGTCACTTCTGTAGAAGTCGGAATATTTTAGTAATTCTGAGTAACGAAGAGGATGGGAATCTTTAATTTACCCACATACACAAAGATCATGAAGAAATCCAAATCTACAGTGTATGTATGAAGGACACGGACATCTTGTGCTATCTCCCAGTACTTTGCATGCTCCTTTCTCAACTCCTAAGGAATCCCCCCCCTCCCCCAAGTAGGGAACATTCACTTTGTACAAAAGAATCCCAAACCCAGATGCTCTCACAACTGGACACATCTGGCCCACATGTGCCCATGCTAAATCCCTTGCCAACTTGAAGTTACCTGTCCTGTATGCTTTTGCGCACAATGAGGAAATAGGACTTGATAAGACGGCGGATGACCTCACAGTCTCGCTGTTCACGTTGGCTCAGTTTGCGTGTAGCAGGCATGGGCTAGGGAAAGTCAGGGAAGACTACTGTGAGAGGAAATTGCCAGAGGTGGTGGTGATAGCAGAGCTGGTGGAACAGTTTCTACGCACTTGGCCAAGATCAGTGAGACAAGATATAGCATATTGCATAGGGTGGGCAGAGAACAGGTAATCTGTACAGGCAACTCCCAAATTATGTGAGGGTTACATTACAGGCCTCCCTGCATGTAACCGAAACTGTGTATATTGGGAACACCCTGGAGGAGCAGTGGGGGCAGCTGAGCTGCTCAACAAGCCCCACAGTCCCTCCAGTTCACAAGAGCTGGGGGGGCAGTGGGGCTGCTTAGCTGACATGCGGGTAAGCAGCTGCTGTGCTACCCCACACATCAGCTGTTAGGCCAGACGACCTCAACAAGGCCCCACTGGACCCTCCCCAGAACCCAAAGAGGATGTCCTCAAGCCAGTAATGTCCTCTTTTCAATTAATGTTCTTGCCTCTAGGTCACCAACCCACCTCTCCACCTCACCAACCCTGTACTTCCAGGTTCCCGCACAGCTGACCGTGTCTAGCAGGTTGACTGCATGGGACCGACTAGGGCTGGAATAGACGGAGGTCTGTGAGGACCCCTTGGGTCTGTCATCTGCACTAGGTTCTTCCGCTTTTTCACTTTTCCATCGCCGGGCACCATCTGGAACAGATTCAGTCTGAGAAGGGAATAAATGTGAGAGTGGGCTGTGGGGTTATTCTTAGGGCAGGTGTCAAGGCAGTAGAAAGGGTGGTAGTGGTTGGGTCATACCTTAGAACTGCTCACTGAGGCAGAAACGAGAGCTGTGTCAATGAAGTCTGGGTGCTTGGTGTTAATGTAGGCCAGTTCAATTGCAACCAGATTGTGCACCTAGGAGAAAAGGCATTGGCTGTTGGAACATTTGGCCCCAAATGTGGAACAGGAACCAGCCTCCACTCCTCCATTCTCTGAAGAAACAACCATCATTACCATCTCATTTGTGATGGGCAGCCTCCTGCGAAGGACTCCCGTCACCACCTCCACAATCGCCTCATGCAACTTAGGGAAACGCAACAGCTCCTGAGAAAGGGGTGAGGAGGAATTGAGAGAAGCATTTGGACATTATTTATTTTTTAAAGACCTACCTTTTGGCTCTACAATTTGTTTGCCAATGAAGCTTACAAAGACACCAATTAAAATACCATTGTACTGCTAATACACACAAAAGATACATTAAAAAAAACAACAAGCACAGCACAGGATATAATAAGGAAAAATCTTTATAAAAAGCATTTCCCATAAATAGTCCAACTTTGTTCGCTCCCCAGCCATTGGAATTCAGACTATAAGCTTATGGAAGGCAGGAACCTGACTTTTGTTTATTTTGCACCATCAGCTTCTGCGAAGCAACACGAACCAAGAACAACTTGTAGGAAAAGTTTTAAAAAACTGCATTACTTATTTGCATCATTGTATGCTGAAAAAATGATTTTATGGCAAAACCATCAACAATATGGGAAGAAAGACAATGTTATGAGGCCAGCTTCTCACTTATTTCAGTATTTCCAGCATAATCCAGAATCATAGAGCCGGAAGGGACCCAAGGGTCATCTAGTCCAACCCCCTGCAATGCAGAAATCACAGCTAAAGCATCCATGACAGACGGCCATCCACCAAGGAAGGAGAGTCCACAACCTCCCAAATGAGACTGTTCCACTGTCAAACAGCTCTTGCTGTCACAAAGTTCTTCCTTATGTTTAGCCGGAATCTTCTTTCTAGTAACTTGAAGCCAGTGGTTCCAGTCCTACCTTCCAGAGCAGGAAAAAACAAGCTTGTTCCCTCTTCCATGTGACAGCCCTTAAGGTATTTGAAGATGACTATCATATTTCCTCTCAGTCTCCTCTTTTCCAGGCTAAACATACCCAGCTCCTTCAACTGTTCCTCATCAGGCTTGGTTTCCAGACCCTGGTTCATCTTGGTTGCCATCCAAGAAGCTTGTCAACATCCTCCTTAAATTGTGGTGCCCAGAATTGGACACAGAATTCCAGGTGTGGTCTGACCAAGGCAGAATATAGTAGTACTATTACTTCCCTTGATATTAACACTATACTGCCTGGAATTGGTTAGAGCATGGTGCTGATAATGTCAAGGTTGCAGGTTTGAGCCCCAAATGGGACAACTGCATATTCCCACATTGCAGAGTGTTGTACTAGATGACCCTAAGGGTCCCTTCCAGCTCCACAGTTCTATCATTCTATGATGTGTTCTAGAATAGCATTAGCTTTTTTTACTGCTGCATCACACTGTTGACTCATGTTAGCTTGTGGTCCACCAAGACCCATAGATCCTTTCACATGTACTTCTGGCAAGCTAAGTGTCCCCTATCTTATATTTGTGTAGCTGGTTCTTCCTGCGTAAGTGAAGAACCTTACATTTGTCCCTGTTGAAATTCATTGTTAGCTTGGGCCGAGTTCTCCAATCTGTTA